CGCGGTGTTGGAGAGCTGTGAGAGGGCACCAAGGTAAGTGGCCGCGGGGGGGGGGGGGAGCAAAAAAAGTATTTTAGGAGTTTTGTGGCGGAGCGCAGGTAGAGGGGCCTCGCTGGGAAGGCAGCCCCGGTCCAGCTTGTCGTGACGGCTGCTTTTACAAAGGGGACCTAGAGGTAAAGACTGAGTGACTTCTGAAGAATTTCAGTCCTTTCATGGCCGTGTCGGGAGCAAAGCTGAGAAATATTTTTTTTTCCTGTCTGGCCCGTTGTTCCTCTCATGATCCCCTTCAGGGGGAAAAAAAACCCTCCAAACCCTAAGTAAATGGTAATACTGTTTATATGTATCAAATGTGTACAGAGATTTGACCCAGTACGGCTGTTCCTATGAGGTAGAGAGATTACCGTCTCTGGCAAAGTGGTGAATAATACGAAATGACTTCTTTTTTTCTTTTTTTTTTCTGGCTGCAAGCACATTAGGGAGCAGGTAAGGTCAAAGTTTTCTATATCCTATGTCTTTCTCTCGAAGGCTTCTGGTCAGCTATATAAATAAGACGGTGAATAAGATGTATTGATGTAAAAAGAAACTGAAATTCGTTTTGATGCTTAAAACAACTTACTATGCAGAAAATTTCTTGGGAAACCTAGAGATGAAAACGTTAACTGTGACATTTAATCTTCGATGTAAAGGTTTTTGTCAGGGGGAGGGGGAAGAGGGAAATCTGTATTTCTTTTTACAATGACACAGACATTAAGAAGCAGACATTTACAAATGGCCGAATGCACTACCTACGAAAGACAATGTGAATCCACTGTCCTGAGCCGGCGTATAGAAATGGAAAAAAGTTAAAAATGTGTATTCTAAAAATATTTACTAAGTGACTAGCGATACTTGGATCTGTTTTTACTGGCTAGCGCCATATCTCACGCTAACAACTAAATCTGAATGCGATGGCTGCTGTTTTCTGAGTTATATTTCTATTCGTTAAACACAGTGGGACTTTCCGTGTAATTTTAAATTAGTTTGTAGGTTGTGCTTCTTTAGCAAGTGAATTTACATAGCTGATTTTAGTGAACGTGTATGACTTACTGCATTCATTCGATGAGAACTCCCCATGTTCTTCAGAGTAGCGCTTCATCGATACAGGGGCTCCTTAAAGTGTACAGGAAAAGAATAAAGCGCATGTACACATGAGGTTGGGTTTTTTTTGTGGTGGCTTTGTTTGTTTGGGTTTGTGTTTGTTTTTTGCGGTTGTTTGTTGTTTTTTTTTTTTTTTAATAAAAGGATAGTTGCAATGCTTAGAAAACTAAGCAAGGTATGAGACCTTCACTTCCATCTGTTCTGGTGGATTTCACCGGAGTCCTTCTTCTCGATCAAGTAAATTTGGGCAAGTAATAACGTGCTAGAAGGCGACAAACTTACACACACCTGGGATCTTGGAGGGAACAGACTTTTTTGCTTCATATCAAAGGTGTTGCTGAAGTGGCTGAGTTCATTTCAGTGTGTTACTGACCTAATAATGTGACTCTAGGACACGGTTCTTTCGGAGTTTCTCTCGGTGCTTTTGTTCCTTAAACTTTTTGTTGTCGGTGCTGCAGTTTCTCAGAGAAGCTCTTCAAAATATTATCTTTTTCCTGAGCACCTTCTTGGTCTGGGCTTTTGCTCTTAACCTGCACGTTACTTCAGAAACGCACTGTTGCTGCTGCGAAATGGAGTGCACGAAGCCCCCCCGTCCCCTGCAGCTCTCTCTGCATTAGCTCACCGCAGAGGAAAAGAAACAAGTGGATGACCGATGCGGAGCGTTTAGTCTATATATGTGCGTCTATATACGAATTATACCTAGAGATGTGTGCACCTGATAGCGCATGTAGAAGCTCATGTGCCCGGCATTAACCGTGGGGTCTGGGCAGCAGAGGCGGGCAGGAACGGGAAAACTCTTGCTTTGAAAGAAGCATTGCCCGCTGGCCTGTGCCTCCGCTCCGCTCCTTATTTTACACCGAGGAAATCCTCCCGCGACTTGCCGCCT